CACAAGTTTGAAAATTCAAGCATATTGATGAGGCTTCTCGAGTTTTGAGTGATGTAAATGAGAAAAGTTGCAAAAAAAGAACAAAAAATCAGGCAGCTTCTTGAGATCCTCCTTAAGAGATATCTAATGATTAGAATTATTATTATTATTATTATTATTATTATTATTATTATTATTATTATTATTATTATTATTATTATTATATTATTATTATTTATTATTATTATATAAAAACTAAGCGCTAAACCTACAAGGGTCATACAGCATCTAATGGTCCAGGTTGGACCGTAACTTCGACATAAGTTCCTCTCTCTTAAGCGACTAACTTGTCTATTATCCAGTCTCGTCTAGGTTGTGTTTGCTCCCGCTGGGTTATTTGTCTCTCCTCCTACATTATTTTTTTAAGGGTAAATAGTTTTTTAAGGTTTTGGTAACTTTAGAAATTATATCAATGTTTTACTAGTGGTAAAACAAGTGTTTGTGTCAGGCGTTTAGCAGAGGAAGGATTAAATCTGCATTATTCCTTGCACTGAATCACTCACATAAGTTTAATGATTTACATAATTTATGAAATAATAATAATAATAATAATAATAATAATAATAATAATAATAATAATAATAATAATAATAATAATAATATATGTACATTCCTGGTATATCTATTGTAAGATAAGGTGTACATTTCTTGCAACATGCTTGCAGCTGAAAGTTAATCTGACCTTGCTGGGTTAGTCACATGTGTCCTAACATTATCATTGTATGTTCATAGGAAGGTACCTGACGGGGCTGCAGCAAACCTTGAATATTTATACAGAATGCCGCGTCAGCATCCCTTGTAAGTTCCACTTCCACCGCTTCCCCTTCGGCAGCCAGAAGTGTGTTGCGTCATTTCATTTCTTGAAAGTTATCATGGAGATGAAGTGGCAGCATGTAAGCAATGTGACTGGGCTTTACCCCGTGCATTACAGCGGCGACCACAACCTTCTGGACTACAAACTCATCAAGGTATCAGGAGAGACTGTCGTGGACGCCCACGAAAAAGGGGGAGAGAGTTCCTTCGCTGTCATCACGCTCTATCTACAGAGCCTTTGTGACTACCACCTCCTAAACAGCTTCGCCCCAAGCTGTCTCATGTTCGTCATCTCCTACGCAACATTCTTCTTTCCCATCGAAGACTTCAACGAGAGGATCATGGTGTCACTGACCTCCTTGCTAGTGTTGGCAGGTCTCTTCGCGCAGGCCACTGGTTCCTATGTTAAGACACCTTACTATAAACTGCTCGATATCTGGTACGTCATCCTCATCGCCTTCTGTTTCTGCGTCGTTATTGTTAACGTCGCCGTCAACTCGGTGAGAATGCATACTAGGTCTCGCACCTACTGTGTGCCACACAAGACTGACAAAGTTAACTTGTTCCTCACGAAGGCCAAGAGAGTTAACTTCGTGGCCCGTACCTTATTTGCCTGCCTCTTCTCGCTTTTAGTTGTCATATACACATGCTTTGCACTGGACGTTGTGTAGTTTGCTCTTCGCTTCAAAATCTATCAACTACTCACGGATTTAATAATAATAATAATAATAATAATAAATCTTTATTTCTACAAGTATATGATACAACTTATACAGACCATACCTGGAGTATACCTGGAGAGGGTTTCGGGGGTCAACGCCCCCGCGGCTGGGTCTGAGACCAGGCCTCATGGTGACATCAGTGATATACAATATAGAAAGCCCCTGGTTGTGTAGATCATTTCAGGCAGATTAGGTTAATTTTGTCCCCAGGATGCGAGCCACACCAGTCGGCTAATACCCAGGTAACTACTTACTGCCAGGTGAGCAGGGGCAGCAGGTGTCTTAAGGAAATAAGCCTAAATGTTTCCACTCGTACCGTAGATCGAACCACGGACCTCAGTGTGTGATCTGACCCCTGCACTAACATGCAAGATTACTTCAATCCTTAAAATTGTAACTGAAGTAAACTTTCAGTGTACTGTATATACACTGAGAAATATGTATGTTAATAAAGTTCAGCATATTTATAATAACTTGAGTTATATAATGCTAATATAATACATGTAATGATAATACTAAAATCTGGAATTCATTACCTGTAAATATAAAAGAAACACTACCTGTTTATAAATTCAAGTCTCTTCTCAAAGATCACTTACTCACCCAAAACCAAATAAATACTGAATAACTGAACCTTATAAATTGTATATCTTAAATGTTTCTCACGATTATATCACATAAATGTTAAACCTAAAACCGAATCTAACTTTATTATTTTTTAAATACACTACCTAACAGAATCCTTCATATGACTGAATGTACAACAATGCATGCAACCATATGACCTGTCTTTGTAATACTCACTTGTGCTTTATAGTAATCTGTTTACAATAATGTTTTATCACTGATTTCATCATTGCTTAGTTAATCTTAAGTTAATTTTAAGCCAGCCCGTAATGCTATGCATAGTATAAGTGGCTTTGGCATGCTGCTCTTACCTGTATTTTTTTTTACCTCTGTATGTGTGCTCAAATTGTTAATAAATAAATAAAAATAAATAAATAAACTAGTATAACTACTAAAATGTTGTGATTCACTGCCATACACTGTGTAATTATTTTTATTAATATATTTTAAGTACAACATCGTATTGTTACCCTGATCTATGTGACCTTGTACTCAGGATGACCTTTTTTTGTCATACTCCTTCGCTCTTCTGCCAGAATCCATCAAACACGATAGTTTCCTGTCATAGTAAATTAAACAGGAAGTTTTTTTTCTGTCATACTGCATCATATAAATATGTGTTCTTGTTATGTTGTATCATATATTAAAGTTGTCCTGTCAGACTACACCATACGCTAGAGTTTACCTGTCATGCTACATCTTATGAGATTCATCTCACACTCAGTCTCATAGGATAGTTTCTTCTCATGTTTTATCACACAGGATAAATTTGCTGTCGTATTTCATCACACGGAATTGGATTCCTACCATAATCCATCACACATGATGGGTTTTCCCTGTCATACTTTATCACATAATGATTTCCCTGTCATGGAAATATAAACACATATGCAGTATAATGTGATCCTTTATTGACTACGTTTCGCCCACGCAGTGGGCTTTTTCAAGTCACTTGATGTGATGAATGGTTTTGAAAACCGACAAGTTGAAGAATTGAGACACTTATGCAACACATGGGAATCTTTATTGAAGAAACGTTTCGCCACACAGTGGCTTCATCAGTCCAATACAAAGTAGAAATGGGTAAGGAGAGTAGAAGTATGAGGTAATCAGCCACCTCTCTGGCCCTATGCTGCACTTACTACAAGAGTGATGGACTGAACACATCGAATCCAGGTTGAGGGACTGATTACCTCATACTTCTACTCTCCTTACCCATTTCTACTTTGTATTGGACTGATGAAGCCACTGTGTGGCGAAACGTTTCTTCAATAAAGATTCCCATGTGTTGCATAAGTGTCTCAATTCTTCAAGTCACTTGAAAAAGCCCACTGCGTGGGCGAAACGTAGTCAATAAAGGATCATATTATACTGCATATGTGTTTATATTTCCATTGTGTCGGTATTTTATACCATTTATTTCCATTTCCCTGTCATACTCCATCACACAGTATGATTCCCTGTCATTTTCAATATAACTGGAGTATTTTTCCCGACAGCCTCCATCACACTGGATGAGTTTCACACATGAGAAAATGAACTCTTTCTTCAACATATATTGGAGTATGCGGCACCAGTTTGGAGCCCATACCTAGCCAAACACGTAAGGAAACTATAGAACGTACAAAGGTTCGCAACAAGACTAGTCCCAGAGCTAAGGGGTATGTCCTAAGAGGAGAGGTTAAGGAAAATCGACCTGACGACACCAGAGGACAGGAGAGATAGGGGGACATGATAACGGCATACAAAATACTGAGAGGAATTGACAAGGTGGACAAAGACAGGATGTTCCAGAGTTGGGACACAGCAACAAGGGGACACAGTTGGAAGTTGAAGACACAGATGAATCACAGGGATGTTAGGAAGTATTTCTTCAGCCAGAGTAGTCAGGAAGTGGAATAGTTTGGGAAGCGATGTAGTGGAGGCAGGATCCATACATAGCTTTAAGCAGAGGTATGAAAAAGCTCACGGTTCAGGGAGAGTGACCTAGTAGCGACCAGTGAAGAGACTAGGAGCTAGGACTCGACCCTTGCAACCTCAACTAGGTGAGTACAACTAGGTGAGTACAACTAGGTGAATACAATCACTTTTCCTGCAACACAATCACTCTTCCTGCAACACAATCACTCTTCCTGCAACACAATCACTCTTCCTGCAACACAATCACTCTTCCTGCAACACAATCACTCTTCCTGCAACACAATCACTCTTCCTGCAACACAAAATCTTGTTTTTCCCTGTCTTATTTCGTAATCACGTTTCTTGTTGATGGTTCGAAATTAGCTTTAGTCCACACAGTGTTCTGTAAACACACACACACAACACACACACACACACATACACACACACACACACACACACACACCACACTCACACACACACCACACACACACACACACCACACACACACACACACACACACACACACACACACACACACACACACACACACACAGAATCTCCCACCAAAAGACCCCACCCGCGACATTCCAACGCAACTGAGCAACCTATACTCCAACCCACTCACTGTTCCCTCTGCCACCAACCCCCATATCACAAACCTCACCCCAACAGCTGTCCCTTATGGGCATTCTGACCCCCCCCCCCCCCACCACACACCCCCCCCCCCCCCCCCCCCCCCACACCCCCCCACCAAGGCTCTCCCTCCCCCCCAACCCCAATATACTTGCATGACCACAATGATAGAAAAGAAACTAAAGGTTTGGTACACAAATGCGGATGGAATAATGAATAAACATGAGGAGTGGAATGAAAGAATCAGTGAAAAATCCCCAGACATCATAGCAGTCACAGAAACAAAACTCGCTGAGATAATAACAGACACAATCTTCCCAACAGGATATCAGATCCTGAGGAAAGATAGAAGAGTGAGGGGGAGGAGGGGTTGGCACTGCTCATCAAAACACCAATGGGATTTGAGGAAATGGAAGGCATGGACATGATTGGAGAAAGAGACTACATTGTTAGGTACAATTCAGTCCGGAGAACATAAAGTAGTCATTGGAGTGAGGTATAACCCACCACAGAAACTGCAGGAGGCCAAGAGAGGAGTACGAAGAAAACAACAGGGTGATGGTGGACACACTGGCTGAGGTGGCAAGAAGAGCTCACTCGAGCAGAGCAAAGTTACTGGTAATGGGCGATTTCAACCACAGGGAGATCGACTGGGAAAACCTGGAGCCACATGGGGGTCCCGAAACATGGAGAGCCAAGATGATGGATGTGGTACTTGAAAACCTCATGCATCAACATGTCAGGGACAACAACCAGAGAGAGAGGGAGGATGAGCCAGCAAGACTGGATCTTGTGTTCACCCTGAGCAGTTCAGACATCGAGGACATCACTTACGAGAGGCCCCTTGGAGCTAGCGATCATGTGGTTCTGAGTTTTGACTATATAGTAAGAGTTACAAGTGGAGTAAGGTAACAGGAACTGAAGGACAGCCAAACTATAAAATGGGGGACTACACAGGTATAGAAACTTCCTGCAGAGGTTCAGTGGGACAGAGAAATGGTAGGAAAATCAGTAAACGAGATGATGGAATATGTGGCAACAAAGTGCAAGGAGGCAGAGAAGTTTTGTTCCCAAGTGGAAACAGAAATAATAGGAAGACCAAGACGAGTCCTTGGTTTACCCGAAGGTGTAGGGAGGCAAAAGCTAAGTGCAACAGAGAATGGAAAAGGTACAGGAGGCATAGGACCCAGGAAAACAAGGAGATTAGTAGAAGAGCCAGAAACGAGTATGCGCAGATAAGGAGGGAGGCCCAGAGACAGTATGAAAACGACATAGCATCGAAAGTCAAATCTGACCCGAAACTGCTGTATAGCCACATTAGGAAGAAGACAACAGTCAAGGACCAGGTGATAAGGCTGAGGAAAGAAGGTGGAGAACTCACAAGAAACGATCAAGAGGTATGTGAGGAGCTCAACACGAGATTTAAGGAAGTATTTACAGTAGAGACAGGAGGACTCTGGGGGGACAGACCAGATGGGGACACCAACAAGGAATACACCAACAAGTGTTGGACGACATACATACAGATGAGAGGAGGTGAAGAAACTGCTAAGGGACATCGATACCTCAAAGGCAATGGGACCGGACAACATCTCTCCATGGGTCCTTAGAGAGGGAGCAGATATGTTGTGCGTACCACTTACCACAATCTTCAACACATCCCTGAAACTGGCAACTACCTGAGGTATGGAAGACAGCAAATGTAGTTCCCATTTTCAAAAAAGGAGACAGAAAAGAGGCACTAAACTATAGACCTGTGTCATTGACGTGTATAGTATGCAAAATTA